GTCTCAAATGCAAATTTATGCCAGTACCAAGTTATCTTATGCTAGAAGTGTTGAGAAGCACTTTTGGTTTCACAAAAGGATGCTGTGGTTGGCTTTACAGTTTTTTTTTCCTGGGTGCTCCAGGAAATACTGATGTAAGAGCGGCCACTATAAACTGCAGATGTGAGGAGTAGGGGAGTCTCCAGACCCTTTTCAGATCACCAGTCAGCAGGAGGTTGGAATGAGTTGATGGGTTGGGCAATGAAGCACAGTATTGTTGGAGTGTTTCCTAGTCAAACTGTTTGAACAGGGAATACTCAAGTGTCTCTGACAGGAGAAATAGACAGAAGTTTCTTGGCACACTTGAACAAAGGGGTTTTGTAAGTCCTGACCTGCATTTCTGATGAGTTTCTCTCCAGCATTAACAGTGGCTGCTGCTTACTTTGTGGCTCAATTCAGTTCAAATTGCTTTTGATATTTGATGAGCCCAGTGTATCTTTTTCACTTCAAATAGACTTTCAGAATTGTCTCAGAGTATATACAGAAGTAGGAGGGGGAAATCCATAGACTACTGAAAATGCTAATGCTATTACCACAGCAGATTTATTTTCTTTAGGAATTCTGCCTTTCAAGAAAATATCAACAGAGAAAACAAGCAATTATCTTGCTATAAAAGAGACACCAGTCGATACAGGCTTTTCTAGCATTCGTGCTCCAAAAAGCTGAAAATTACAGAGTGAGCTACTTTAAACAAGTCAGCTTTATCTCAATTTATTCAGTGAAGTCCACACTTGTTATTTTTAGTTTTTCCCTTTTCCTTCTAAACTTTTACACAGAGTATCTTTTTTAGTACAACTTAGTTTTTCTGCTAAAGCAGTTGGATCTTAAATGCTTTGGTAAGGAGTTGCAGCAGGATGATATGTAGCTGATAGCTGTCTTCAGTGTTTATTTGTGATATTTATGAATTAAATACAGTACTTATACTAGTAGCACTGTTGCTGCCTCACAATCTGAAGGAAGTTTTGACCTTAGTTGAACTATGATTTAGTTGTAGTTACCGATATTTACTAAATTGTCGTATTTATAAGATCATAATTTTATTGTCCCACATGTGAAAAATAACCAGTATCATTAAATCATTTAATGGAGAGAAATCAACTCATCCTGTAACTAACCTAATACTTAGACAGCTGTCCTCTAGCTATAGTAGTTTCAGATGTATCCTATCTTAGATGATTTCTTGAAATAGTATCAAACTCATTAATTAAAGTAAGTGATTTTAAGTGATTCTGGATTGAAACATTCAGTATTTTAGGAAATGAAAGTGTTGGGGGAAAACTAAATCTATACACTAGAATAAACTACTTGTATTGAATTACTGAAGCACACTAAGGTTACCATCACTGCTGTACTGTGTTAGTAAATATACCAGCAACAATAATAAGTGTGTTGATGTGGCTCAGAGTGTACTTTTTGCGTCTGTGTCTGTTGGAGCCGTTCTCTCTCTTTTTAAACCAGACAATTAAGGTGAATCAGAGATTCTGACTTGTCAATTGCCTCAAATGTGACTGCGTGTCTCACCGTGTAAGTCCTCAGACAGAGCAGAATTTTTCTTGTCCTCAGGCTGAATTCATGCTGTGATAAGGTCCAGCTGTTCATGACCCTGGAAAGGATTAAATGGGCTGAGAGGATGTGCAAGAATAGTGGGTGGAAAATTTAACACTTCCTCAGAATAGACAACACATCCCTTTCCTTTATTCACTTCCATCATTCTCCCTCTTCAAATATGACCGTAGGGCCACAGCAGCTGTGGAGTTTGGACAGAACGTTTTCAGCATGTTGACCGTTACACTGTAGGTATCCTAACAGATTGGCTGTGACTAGCTGGCTTTGGCAGGGGGATTAAGTAGCTCACATACCCCAGCAACAGCCCACAGTTTTCTGACTGGACATTTGAAGTTCACAGGAAAATATGTTTAAAAATGGAAAATAGGTGACCTTATATTGTTTTTTTAAAAATGTGAAATGATCAGCCTAAGTGAAATTGTCAGGAAAACAAACTTGGTGATGACTCATCACCATATGCGCTTCCACTTGCCATTCAGATTTGAGAAGTACACAGAAAGCTCTGTAAACAGATTTGATGATTCACACAGCAGAACTTAAACAGGCTTCTAAAAAGTGTTGTAGCTTTTCTGTATGGTTAAAAACAATACTTTGAAATGTGGGATGACAATGTTGTGGGGCAGAAGTTTGTGTACTAAGGAAAGATAAGTGGATTTTAGATTCTTTATTGTCCACACGACTGATTAAAGAGTAAAATCTCAACCAGCTGATCAACTAAGTATTTTTTCCTAACCCTAACTCCTTTCACCTTTCTTGTTTTCATACTTTTGTCTCTGAGAATGAACTTGGAATGAAGCAGTCAAGACGTGACTGAAGTGCAGAAATTACTGCCACTTTTTACAAGGTCCCTTCATTTTTACACGCTCAAAGGTAATTGGAAAAGTGACTGATAAGTAGCTTCAGTTCCAGGTATAGCTGGTTCCCTCATTATTTCATGACAAATTGCAGAGGCGAATGGTTCTGAGTTGATTTCAATTGTTGCATTTGGTAGCTGTTCATTAGACTTCTCAATATGAGGTTCAAAAAGGTGACAATGCGAGGGAAGAAGGCTGTGATTAGCCTTCTTCCCCCCCCCCCAATGATTTTACAGAGAGAAATTTTAGAAATAGCTACGTCAACAATACATGGTGGAGTTCATAGCATATTTTCTGTTCAATCAAACGCTGCAGAACAGGACAGATGGGCACTGGCAGAAAACAGTGAAAGCAATCAAAGAGGAAAAGAAAGACAAGGAAAAGAAATGAAATGGCAAATCCCACTGACTCTAACCCAGTTGAGTATATATTTTTTTTCCTTACTGAAGATAAAGTTTAAGGCAGAAATGTCTACAAACAAGCAGTAATTGAAGGCAGCTGCTGTAAAGGCCTGGCAAAGCTTCTTAAAAGAAGAAACTCAGCATTTGGCAATATTCATCAGTCCCAGACTTCAGGCTGTCACTGACTACAAAGGAATTTTAATCACACTTAAAAATAAAAATGTCTTTTGTTAGTGTGTCCAGTTACTTTAGAGGGAAAAATGGCTGACATGGCTTGCATATACTTAAGCAGAAGTAACATTTAGACGCCGTTTTAATAAATAGGCACATGTGTTGTGCCAAAGTCTGTCATAAAGTGAATAATAATAATAATAATAAAAACAGCCCAATGCAAACAATTGAAATCACAAATGAGATCATTCTGTTTTTGCCTCTTTACTGTTATCTGTTACTTCACAACCTTAACCTGTACCGCTTTTAGTAATGAACCCTTCCACTTGGGAAGCTGCACAACATACCACATTTGTGTTGTTGTTCCTGTTTTCTGTGAGATAGGAAGTCATATTTGGTCTGTCACATTGGTTTTGTGAAACGTATTCAATGGTTTAGGTGCTTCATTATCATAAATGTAATCTGTTCTTTCATACTCACCACTGCTAAAATGGCAAACTCCCTGGGAAGAAAAGATAATTATCGCCAATTTGCATTTGTTGTAGACACTTTAGCAGCACGCAGTCCTGAGCTATTATTATGTCGACATTATGCGGGTTGTGCTGTAAATTGCAGTCTTGTGATCTCTGTGAGCGTTTTATTTTACAGTAAAAATAAGAAATGAAAATATCAAACTCTCAAAACATATCTGCTGCCTGTTTTAAGAGGTTAAAGGTATGACTCAGCATGCTGTTGGACAAAACATGTAGCTTTGGTTGTAGATGTGCTTTCTCTTTTTCCCATTTTTGGATAATGCATGTTGTTTTTTAGGTAAGTATCGTAACGTTTTGGTGTTTAACATTTCCTCAGTGTTTACTATAGATGCCAGTGGTACAATTAGGAAACTACTGTCATTCAATGTTGACAAGATCTCCGATTTTATGCACTGCAAAATCGTGGATTTTAGCAACACACACTGGTTGGATTAATTAATAAATTCATTTTTCTATAAATGACGTTTTATCTGTAAGTGGATCCAAATGATTGCAACATGAATTTGGCAAAGCACCAGACATTTATTTCAGTTGTACATAGATTGTAAACATACTGCTATTACACAGGTTTCAAAGCGGTTCTGAAGTCTTTGCTATCATAGCTTTAAGCTAACGATGTGGAGAGGCAAACAGATCTTGATCAAAGTCTGAGTCAGAGAGAAAAGCTGGAAGAGATCACAGTGCCTGGGCTCAGCAGAATCAATCACATGAACCCAAACACTTGGAACCGCTAATCCTCACTAATCTTAAATTAGTGGCCAAGTTAAGGTAGTATGTAGAAGGCAGCGCAGAATCACAACAAGATCGCTACTTATTTCTTCACCCAAATAGCAACACAGACATTTTTGAGAATCCAGTTTTAATATTTTTAAATGAACAATTCAAGGCACATGAAAACATTTTGTCCATTGTTACAAAGAAAACATGAACAAGGCTTTTCTTGGAATTATTTCTTTGTAAAAGTTCGAAACCACAATCAAGTGTTCAAACTTGATTATAAACAAGGCTGAAGAGCCAAATGTGTCCACATTTGTAACAGAGGCATCTAACTGAATAAATTCTGTCTTAAAGAATAAGCCATTTTTTGTAATATTTATATTCCTGTTTAATTGTTTTTAATGGCTTGGTTTCCAAACTGAGTTTTAATAAGCAAAAAAAAAAAAAAAAAAAGTGTTTGTGTTGGGTGTTCCAGTTTCTTTTTAATCTCATAAAAGTTCCGAAAGTTGTGTTATTTACAAAAAGATTACGTCATACTTACAAATTGTTCTTGTCAAATATAAAATAAAAAATAATTCTCATCAAATTTGTTCTTAACAGACATTAAATAGGTTTTATTCTAATGCTGTTTAGCAAATATTTATTGAAAATTTCAGAGGCGGGGCACATGCAGGTTTTTAGAGTGGATTCATAAAGGAACAGTATTGTACAAATAATAATAATAATAATAATTACAGTTTAATCAAAAAAAAATTTGTAGCACCTTGAGTGTTTTGTGATTCTGCACAAAAGCACATCTGTGGTTGTATTCAGAGCAGCACCGGGAGCATCGAGAGAGGGAGGCGTGGTTGTAGGGGAAGGACGAGGGAGGATTGGGCTTAGGGGGAGTGGAGCCTCTCTCTGCTGCTGTAAGTGTGCCACCGTCCACCATGGCATCAAATGTCCTTTTCCTGATGTCATTCCCATTAGTAAGTTAAAGTCATGTGATTCTGGCCCTACAAGGGCGAGGAGCAGTTTCCCCTGGTCAGCGCTTTCATGACAGGGCCTGGGGGACTCTTCTTCTCCTTGCTGGAGTGGATCTTCTTGGCAACAAAAGAAAAGACAGGCTTTCGCTTCGCGGGGAGAGAAGATGAAGGTTGTCAGATCTCAGCATGTGGGTGTTAATATATACCCTCTGACCCTGTCCTTCAGCGGGGAGCAGGGGTGTGTCTAGCCAAGGAAACACACAGGTCCGACCTCAAAGCCAAACCTCTGGTTGGATTTCCCAAAGTCATTCAGCATGACGTCAATGATGGGCAACTGGTCGATGCGGGGAGTGTTGATCTCCAACACCGTCTTTGAATAGCCCTGCTTCGCCTACAAACACAAAAGGGCGCACAGGGAGGCAGATATTTTGTTAAGGTGGTTCAAGTAAAGTTCTAACCATGTTAACCCAATTTCCTTCGGGGTCAACCTTCAGGATCAATAAAGTTTTATTGAATTGAATGTTAGCACAAGGTACTAAATAATATAACATTATTTAAAATATAGATATGTTTAAAATTTTTGGAAATGGAAAAACAAGGCAAGAGAGAGTAGAGATGGATAGATGGACAGGGATAATACTATTCAGTATCTTGGCTGTCTGAAAAGAGCACTCTGGTTTTGGCACACAATACTCCTGAAACAACTGACTGATTAAATAACAAACAACAAATAGTAATTTCATAGCTAACTAGTCTATTAGTCAAACATTGCGAAAAAACAAACAACAACAAAAAAAAAACAACATCAACAAACTAGTCTTCAAGCTACCTGATAAAAACCTTATTAAATTAATGCAACTCCAAAATAGTGGAAAAAATATAGTTTAAATTGTAATAGCTAACACATTACATGTAATATTACAAAAATTCGTACCCACGTACTGAATTCTATAATTATAGTATCGATTACATCCAGTGAAACCTAAAGTGACATTTGCCTTTTAGTCTAATACATATTTATACAGTGCTTACCAAATTTAACCCAATGTAAGGTTTATGTCCCAAATTAACAATATCAGTAATTACAGAAATCTATTTTTATGTTTACGTTTTGATCAAGATGCCGAGTTAAAGTTTATTAATCTGTTTTGGTGGTTGAACTTATGCTATAAAAACGGTACGCTGTGAACTCTCTGATCTTTAGTTTTTGACAGATTTGTAAAATAGTTGTGTTTTTCTGTTTCTGTGACAGTGGTCTAATAAATTTGTTAAGCAATGTATGCTGTAGCCTCTGACACTCCATAGACTTCCTGTACACACAGCAAAATGTGTTTCACTAAGAAAAAAAAAAGGCCAGGTCTTAATTCATTGGATCCATTTAAGCTGATCACCATTTTGAAACAGGCTCTCGTTTTAGTTAAAGATCAGTGCTAATGCTAACTGATCCAGTTATAGCATGTATCTACTTTTAAATGCCCTCATTGAGTCTATTAACCTTGCACTTGATCTCACTCTTACTATTCTCTTCAGGATAAAAATTACTTGCGATTTCTCTACAGCAGTCTACATATTTGTGAGGATTAATAGGATTTCATGGGATTTAGAAAAAAAGTTTAATTACAAACTGAAAGTTAGAAAATTAGCGTTTACCGAGCAGCCGTCCATCAGCGGCCTGATGAAGGGATTATTGTCATAAGACAGTTCCTCGTCGTTGGAGCCCAGGAAGCGCAGTGCCTTGTCATAGCTGTCAGTATCTATATCGTGCCAGGCCACAGACTGATGGCAAATGTAGGTGAAGTTCTGCCGAGCTGAGGAGCTTAGCAGCTTCAGGAAGGTCATCTGCACCGGGTTGATGGCGTTGTCTGCTGCATCAACGTAGCTTAACTGGGGAAACATGGAGAGAATGAAAAAAACTGAGAGAGGGAGAAAGGATGTGGTAAAAGTTGGAAAGAAGAAATATAATTATGGTAATGAGAGATGGAGTGAGGTGAGTGAAGCTGAAAAATAGTACGAGACAGGAATGAAAAAATGAAGTAACAGGAAACAAGTGGAGGAACAAAAGGAAATTGAGGAAAGGTAAAATGCAAAGAATATGAGAGGGAGATGTATAACAGGGGGAGAAATGAGAGATATTGGTGGGAAAGAGTAACTGTAAGCAAGACAAAATGATAAAGGAGCAAAATTGAAAAACTTATCTGAAAAGGATGTGAATGTCTACTGGGAGGTAATAGAAAAGAAAATAAGAGCTGAGCGGGTTGACTCACGATTTTGCCACGCTTAAATTCACTGAACCATGAACCTGGAGACTCCTTAGGCCAGTTAGATATTCTAGCCTGCAATAAATATCACGCATTAATTAAATGAATTACAAACTAATGAAGTGCTAGTATTGCCAGTGCTGTAAACAGACCTTTAACAAATAACTGCAAATAGCACTTATCCTTGTCAATACCCTACTGAACAGGGCTATGTAATTATAATGTGTTATTATTATGATGATTATTATTATTATAATAAAGCAGATCAATTGTTGATTGACTGCGACAAAAGGACAATATGTTGGCTTCAACTGTATATAATCAGGTGTCACTTGCCCCTGTGGATTTCTTGTCTGGGTAGATGCAGGTTTCTCCACCTGCTGTGAAGTTACAGAACACTTTGATGGTGTCTCCTATACAGCCCTGGTTTGGATCAATCCAGTATTCACCTAAGAGAGAAACAGAGACATACATAAGGAGGTGGTACGATGAACAGCTTGAAAAAGACTGCTTAACTATGTAGAAATACACATTTTTTCTACTATAAGTCACTTCTAATATATAACTAAATGTTAAAATCTAAATTTTACCATCTGGGTAATCAGGCTGGCTAAGATGCAGGTCATTGCAGGTCCTGGCTGGGTTATCTTGGGTGCCCATTGGGAACTTCATGCGCTCAATGTCCTGTTTGAGGTTGTTGAGAGATCCAAAAACATCCTTCATTCCCTCCACGCCATCAACGCCGTAGTCTGCCAGTGGCTCATCTTCCTGCATCTCAGCTTGCCTTCTGGTCTTTCGGGAAGACTGCTGGATAGGCAGGGGCTGGATGATATCAGCAGGTGGACCCTGCAGTACAGAGGTTAAAGTTCAAGTGGAATTTTTGTAAACTACACTTTTCTGTCTAACAGTACAAAAGTTCACAAATCACAAGGTGAAGAAATGACCTGTGGGCAACTGTTCAAAACCAAAGTACTTCATTCACAATAATAATTACAATTAAGGAGCCGGAACCATGCCATCATGTTTTATTTAGAAATTACCAGTAATTAATAGACTGGAAAAATATTTGCTGATTAATCCCCATGATTTACTAAGCCAGCAACTCACTAATTTTAGTTTGTGAAAAACTGTTTAGTAACAGTGTTATTGTTAATGTAATGTAATAATAATGAACATTATGTACAATGTATAATTTAATGACAATAAACTGGTAACTCACAGGTGGTCCGGGTGGCCCAATCAATCCAGGGTCTCCCTTCTGACCAGTTGAACCCTGAAAACACAAGTTATCATTGATTTATTTTATTTAAAGGAAGCCTCTTCTTTTAAAAACAATGCAGAAGAAAGATTATAACTTACAGTTGATCCTTTTGAGCCCTTTTGTCCTTGAGGACCCTGAAGGGAATTAAGGCAATATTAAGAGGTGAACAACACTGAATCGAAAATGGAAAACATGTTTGTTCAGCAAGATTTGTAACTTACAGAAATTCCAGGAGGACCAGGAGGGCCAAGAGGACCTGATTGACCGTTAATGCCCTGAAAATTTAAAATAAATGATGTCAATCAACATGCAGTGAATAGATGTGTAAAATAAGATATGAAATCGTATCTATTCAACTCAAAATGTCTTGCAGTAAAGGCAGTGACAGATAACCCATTTTCATTATTGATTATTTGCCACAAAGTGGCAGTACAAGAATAATTATTAGAACACAAACAAACTGATGTTCCGTGTAACTTACCAGGCTTCACATTTACTGTATAAGCTAATTTAATGACTCTATGGGATACTTACAGACTCTCCCTTGCCACCTGCAGTTCCCTGGGGTCCAGGAAGACCTCTGTCTCCCTTCTCTCCAGGTTCACCAGGAGGTCCAATTAAACCAATTAGACCTGGGTGACCCTAGAGCCAGAAGAAGAAGCCAAATCAAAATATATTAAAGGGGCACGAAATCAATTCAAAAAGAAAATATTTTTACTAATTATGTTACATCATTTTCATATCGGCAATATTTTAATGTCTGTACATTTACGACCAACAAGAAAAGTAAATATGCTAATTCATATGTGAGTTTATTCACAATGACTGGCATGATGGCCTCAGCGCTGTCTTATTTCTGCATATAAATAATTAGTGTGTTTATTGCAGTCATCATATTTAACAATGATGGTCTGTCTCAGCACCTGCTGGTGAGCAAAGTTATGACCATCTGCTTCTGACTACTGCATGCTGGCATTAAACCAATGACCATTACGAAGATGATATTATTGGGCTTATACATATTCATTCACTGTATTAAATCACTGTGTGAAAGACTCCTCACAAAACAGAGCCTTTCTTCTTCTCACTGGAAGTGTGAACAAAGAGACAGGCCGAGATATTTGCTTACTTCGGAAGCTTCAGATAAGGTGCAAAAGCAGACACAAGAAATATAAAATAAAGCAATTTGAGATTAGCATCGTAATAATGTCTTGCCTTCTCTCCCTTGAATCCAGAGTCACCTTTCATACCAGGAAGTCCAGGGGGGCCCTGTGGAGAGAGAATCAGGTTGTCAAGTCTAGCGGTCAGTGTGAAATGAATTCACACTGTCTTACAATGACAGCCGACACTGATCTCTGCATTTGTGTTTACTATTCAGTATCTTCTTTGCAGAGCTACAAACCAACGATCACACCAAAAACTTCATTGCGTCATAACAATCCTGTTGAGAATGGCTGATTTATAAATAAGCTTATGACTAGAAAGCAGTTCATATTCCAGATATTAAAGTATTATATGGGGGCGGTGCAAGGAAATGTCTTACAATAGGACCAGGAGGGCCATCTTGACCGGAAGCACCAGAGAGTCCTTGCTCACCCTGAAAATAAGAAAAAATAGTATTTTTTATAATTAAATAAAACAATTATTAGGAGATTTGCCAGTAATACTTGCTTATAAAATGTATAATGGTGCAGAAAATGTGATTATCAAAGATCCACTCACAACAGGGCCAGGGATTCCACGAAGACCCTCAGCACCAGACTTTCCAGGGGGACCTTGGGGTCCCACAGGTCCAGTTTTCCCAACAGGTCCTTCTGCTCCAGCTTCTCCCTGTAAAACAAAGTAACATTAGTCCTTATGTCATTCACGAGTAGTGAGTAAGTGAGTAAACTTCCGTAGGCAAAAAAAAAGAAGAAAACAAACAAATCCATGTTAACTGTATTTAACTTTCTCATCAAATGTATAAAACAGATGGTCTTTGGATATTATGCACACTTATATACAGCCATGGGTAGCAGATCCAAACAAAACAAGAACCCACATATTTATTCTGGCAATTGTCAAAACTTTGCAGGGACCTTTGCTTTGCAATACAAGCAATAGGCTATATTATACTGTTCACGGTAATACTGGTGTAATGTTGGGCAACAATAGGAAAATGAAACATCGCGATAGAATATGGGTAAAACTCAGTGCGCAGTGCCTTTGTTTACATACGCACATGGCAACAACTCAGAATGAGAAGAGCGAAAGCGGATCGTTAAATGAAACAGATGAACCAGAATTGGTTTGTAAAAATGCTGCAACTTCAGTGGTGTGGAACTGGTTTAGCTTTCGTCCGTCAGATACACAACAAAGCACTATTTTTGGTAGAGCATGCTAGCGGGCTGTTGTTATTACCGTGTTTTTTGGAAAATACAGCACACTTAAAATCAATCCTTTGATTTTTCTGAAAATCAACAGCGCCCTTTATAATCCCGTGTGCTTTATGTATGAATTCTGGTTGTGTTTACTGACCTCAAAACGATTTTATGTACACGGTGCTCGAAAATTTGTCAAATGTCTCAGTACGACTTTGCTAAGCTATGAAGCCGCACCGTTTGATGGATTGTCGGAGCATTACGGCTACCGTAGGCAGGAGCCTCGTGGAGTGATACGAACTGTGCTTCAACATAATATTACCGTATTGTGTGTGTATAACCTCTTTTTAAGTTTTGTGGATATTAAACATGGTTATGCTGAGGATATGTCGGCCAATTTCCACTGGAAATGCCTTTTGGTTAAACTGTCAGCGACTTTAATGCAGATAAAAAACAGCTGTTTGTTTAAGTGAAAATACATTGATGGGGTTTTTTGCACTAATAAAGTTGTGGAGTTAGTCAGTTATATCGTTATCGCAAATTTTCAAATGTATATCGTGATAAATATTTTTGGTCATATCGCCCTGCTCTAACAGGCAAAATCCTGTGGTACCAACACTATATGACCTCTAGACCTCTATCCAACTTGATAATTAAACTAATCCTGTATTTCAAAGTCATACATTTCGATATTCTGAATGTTTTCTGCTGCAAAAGCTTAGAGTGGAGGGATTTGAGGATTTGCGACGTCAAAATAGATCAAATGTTACCAGGTCACATCTGCTGTCTCTGAGCAGGAACGACAGGTTTTTATGTATTGAAGTTCCAGAGATGTCATATTGACTAGGATGATAGGAGGAGCGGATTAGATTGTTCTGACAACTAATTAGGCCTGGATTTGACACTCAAGGATCACCACGCAGGCTTTGGCTTGTCTCCGTCAAATCAAGTGTAATCCTTTACCTCAGTGTGGATAGAATGTGCACTTTGTCCATATGTCCGTCTGTGAGTGTGTGTGTGTGTTGAAAATAAGTCAGAGCTGGAGACTGACAAAAATACAAAAGAAGTGATATTTGTCATGTTTTCTGTTTGTGCAATTCTTTAAACCGTGTGATTTGTGTACAAAAAACCCACCACAATTTAAAACTTTCAATGATTTTTAAACTCTTTCAATCATTATCTTGGATTGTGCAGAAAATTGTGTACTTTAACAAAACAATCAAATCTGTTGACGGCCTCAGAAATAAGTTGTTGCTCTTAATTTGTCTATTTCTACAAGTGTGCAATTCAGCTGAAGAAAATGTTAGAGCAAAAGCTTTGAATGGATGTAGCTTGTTCTTTCCAGAATTTCTAGACATTTCTTTTTGCTGGAAAACATTTTTGCAAATATTTTAAAAATTTGGCATTTAATTTCAACATGCAAAGAAAGACAGTTATGAAAGGAGTTATGACAATCTTGTTGGCCGACAGTTGCTTATGACACATCCAGCAGTTTTGGAGCAGCCTTATTACTCATGTGGATTCATTTTTTTACTAGCAAATCGCTTGGCTGTTTTTGGTCTCTGTCAAATTCTGACTGAAATATCTTACTCTTTAAATGGTCCACTATGTTCAGTAGCTATTCAGTAGCTTTGTCTATCTGCCATGTGGTCGTGAACATTGGATTTTTTTTTTGGCCTTTTTTAGTGAAATCAACTGAAATCATGCTAACATTTTGACATATTAACATAATCAATTTATTGTACTCAAAAAAGTTGAAAATCACTATATAAGCTGAAGCTGAAGATTCAGATGACAAATCTTTGTTCATCAGTACGATAAATAGCTTTCATACTTCTTAGGATCAACATGTTTATTTTATTCATAAGTTTGGTTAATTGTTGTTATATTGTTGTATTTACCCTAACTTTAAAAAAAATTAAACAGTATATATTAACACCGTTCAAAACAAGATTATAATTTACAAAATCCTAGTTTCTCTAACTTACCTTAGATCCCTTTTCTCCTTGTCTGCCTGCCTGACCTGCTGGTCCAGCGGGTCCCTGGGAAAAACAAAGTTTAAACAATATGAGGATTTTGTAAGCACATACTTGGAAAACAAATCATTGTAAAACCTGCTAAAAAGCACACGCCAACTGACTTTGTCTCTAAAAGTAAAATGATCCAACATTTGCAAAACACACAGCAGTTTCATATACTAATTATTCATCTGAAGCATGCTCTGACCTTGAGTTACGCAGGACCAGGCAACATCATTGCAAGCAAATTGTCCTACATTCCAAACATACTGAGATAAAAATGCATCAGCGTTTTCACCAAACAGCCTCTGGTCAAAACCTTGTAAGTGGGCTAACATTTGCCATTACAACCCATAATCAAATAGACCAAACAAAAGCCACCAGTCCTCAATGTAGGTTACAAGCACTGGCAACTGCGTATGTCCATTAGTGAATGTGTGTCTTGACTGTGTGTGGATGCGGGCACGTGTGTGTGCGCACCCGTGCGTATGTGTGCTAATGTAGGCAAGCAGCCACATGCATCAATGAGCACCGAACCTGAGTCAATTTCGAGGAGATATTGGGCAAGAAACTAACACAGAATTACCTTGGAGAAGGATGAAAAATCATATCGCTAAGTCTATTAATATGGACATGCAACTGAGGTCTAATTTGTTCTCCAGCCTCTGCCACCACCAAACTACCCCTTTGAATACAAATTCTCTGGATAAAAAATGTTTACCAGGCCAACATTTTTAAAATGCATGCACATCCATCTGAGCCTGCATTTTATCCCAAGACACAGAATCGCATCTAAAACATCCAAACTACTGCGCCCGATGCCTAACGAATAACATTTCTAGCAGTAAAGCACCACCACCACAGGTAGTTTTTGGAACCCTCAATCTCAGATAATGCTGCAATATCTATCCAGTGATCATTTTTCTGTCCAAGAATCCACAGGGCTGTACAATATCTCCACACAAGCCCTTTGTTGCTGATAGGACTGAGAAATGAACGTGTTTAAGCCATATCAGAGCTTTTTAATCACAATTCCTGTAGTCAGAATACTGCTCAAAGAAGAGGTACTGGCACTGAGATATCTTTCTCCCCTGTGACAACATCAGGCTGCTCATTTTAAAGCAAAAGTTATTCCTCGAGGTCCGTAGCTGTATATCTAAATATACTTTTTTCTGCCACTAATCTGTGCCAGTGGTGATGCTGGCATTCAATTAGTCCTGACTTGGTGCTTTTTTCAGAACAACCTGACAAATATTATGTAACATTACTATGAAACATTTTGGAAATTTCCATAAAAACAAGTCTCCTAATCTCCTAATCATCGGTATATTTTGTCCTACAGCCCATCTCGCCGGCGCTGAGGTCAGTCGTTACAGCTTTGAGGGAGTCAATTTTGTGGTGCCACAATATTTTTATGCCAAATGCTCTATCATATGAGTTTTGGCGTTTTCTCTGTATTGTTATAGGGTCTGTACCTCACAGTATAAAGTGCCTTGTGATTTGGAGCTTTATAAATAAAATTGAATTGGAAATGTGTGGAATCGGTGCTTGATTGGGCATATTCACTGGCACCACACTGCTGGAAAAAAACCAAACAAAAAACCCCAAAGAACTTGAAATATGAAAGTGTCCGTCTCTCTTGTCACACTGTGGCAGCTTTTAATATGGTACATTAACAACATGCTTTATTGATAATTGTAAAACATTATTACCGTAATTGAAAGGCATCATAAAAAAAGCAGCCCAAGTGAAATGAAATAATCTCAGCTGAAGTCTGGTGTGAATGAAAGGGTGCAGAGTGCCTGAAATTATAGTGACAAGTTCATTTCCTGACACTAGCAGCAGCAGCAGTCCTACTCTTTCACTCTTGCTGCCAGTCAAATTCACAATACGCCAATACTGTCCTGCAGTATGACTGCTCATGGAAATTACTGGTTATTCTAGGATTTAACTAACGGAACAAATTTCCTGTGAAACCATGGATCAATTAAAGACCCGAGTATGTGATCATAATTATGTATCACTGTGCCGTGGATAGTAAAGTAGCACTAAGCATGTTAAGAATGTTGTGAATCTAAAAATGCTTCGAATCAAAGTATCATCGCATGCATCATTTTTGAAATGTACTCACCCTTTTGCCAGGAGGTCCTGGTACTCCAGCTTCACCAGATGGACCTGGAGGGCCCTAAAGTAGAATAGACAGAACACTTAACTGCACTTCATAAAAATGGAGGGTGATGTTACATAATGAGATATCTCTACATCTGTAAAAAGAGATACCCAATTTTAAAGGATGGATATGAAACAGTTTTTTGGTCTCTTTTACACTCACTTCACGGTGTTATTACTAGAGCTTCCTCATTGTAAACTGTATATATTACAGCAGTAGTAAATTGAAATTGTTTGTAATAGGCACTATTAGAAATTTTATCTTCATTTTTCCATTGCTGTTATTTTTAATGTTAAACTCTAAGAAAGACTGCGACTAACTAATGAAAGAGTAAATCCTGCTCCGTTCTCTCACATTTACAGTAATATGATAATGTTGGACTTACTGGCTGCCCAGCCTCTCCATCATCTCCTCTGTCTCCAGGTAAACCATCCAGACCCTAAACAAAATACACAAATGAGCCAGACAAAACACAATTAATCAATTATAGTCCTGAGACACAACATTATAATATCAAAAAGAATTTTCACAGATAAAAAGAAAAGGTAAAGTTATAATACTGAAATACTGATCACTGATCATTTTCTTTGTTTTCGTTTCATTAAAATCCTCTAACTCATAACCATAATTATTGTGATGCATATACATCAAATTCTGTGACACTGCAAACATGAAGCCACTGATTGAGGGATAAATGCAGCACTTACAGCAGCACCAGGCTCACCGGGGGGGCCAGGGTCTCCTGGGAAGCCGACAGGACCCTGCAGACACATCGAGGCATTGAAAAAAGTGAGCTTGCTTCACATATTTGACATTGTGTCAACAACAGCTGTGGCAGAAGAAAGCTCGACTGAGAAATATGACACAATGACGCTGTCGCTGGCAGCTCTAATAGTGCATCAGTCATGGATGCGTGTGTGTGTTTTTGTGCAGCTGACATACAGGGTTACCCTTGGGACCATCATCTCCAGGGGGTCCACGTGCACCGGCGGGTCCAGCAGCTCCTGGGGGCCCAGTTTCTCCCTTCTCACCCGTCTCTCCTTTCGGGCCCTAAGGAAATATAAATCAATGTCTTGTCACCATGAAGACCACATAAGAGCCATCCATACTACTTTGACAGTAGGATACTAAATATGGAACAAGTCAAATATGTTATTAAAACTGTCATTTCAACTACCATCAAAACTTTCACAAAACTGCCCAGAAGAGGAGAAAACTGAAAAAAAGCCCAACTGACTGAACTTTGAGCATCTATTTCAAATGAAAATTTCTATTTTATCCAGCAGATGATAAAGCAAATTAGTCCAGCATAGTGTCTGACTGTAGTAATAGCAATCTTTAAGCATTGGCTATGACTCAGAGCAGCAGTTGAAGCATAATTACAAGCCCAGAATCATTAACTGGTCCACTAGAGCTGAGCAATGCTGGAGCGAATGCCAGCATGGCATCTTTAAAGTTGACCTCATTGTGACGTTCAGCGCTGGAGTCTATCTGTCACTGTACACAGAAGCGAGGCAGCAACCGGATACGTCAATACATCCTGACAGACTCAAGGTGAGGTGTCCCTTGCTTTACGGAAGCAGTGGCTTAGTCTGGATTGATGGCAAAGCTCTGATCTAAGATGTTCGGGATGACTACTGTGAAAACTTTTCCTTTTTTATACCGTAAGAAAGGAAAGCTGAGACCTTGTTTGCAGGCAAACACAAGGTGCTGCATCATAGAACACATTATGCATATTATGTAAATGAAATCACCATAAAAATGTAATCAACAAATGTCTTGATGCATTCTCAATCATCCAGGAAAATAAATCTCCAAAAGTTGATTCTGTTCATCTGGATGTAGCGTCTCAGCATCGACCAAGTG